TTCTAGCAATTTAAAAGACTTTCAGAGTTTAGTAAAAGATGACGGGATAATTTTTATGATTTCAAGGTTAGTTTTTTTTTTATTAACATATTATTAGAAAAATATGAAGGAAACAAGCATATAACAATGTTATACAGATAAATTCGATATAATAGAATAAAAAGTGGTTCCAAGTTAATAAAAATTTACTTTAAAAAATAACACTGAAATTTGTCTCAAATTAGTTAGAAACATTTTTAATGCAAATATTAACCCTTATTTGGACAAAATAAAATTTAAAAAATAACTTTTACATACATTCTTTATAAAAAAAATATTTTTACATTCTTATGTATCATAAACATATCAGCATAAATAAAGTAAAAGCTAAGATGCAAATGTAAATTGTAAGTCACTGGTAAACAAATAAATATTTAATTTTAAAACTATACTTTATTCCATAGAAAAAATAAAGAAAGAAATGATTTGAAAATAAGTGAACTGAAACTAAAAATATATTTGCCTTTTTTAAAATAAAAATTTAAATTCTCACTACATTACATATCACTCAATCCTCAATTAAGAGAAATTAATTTTATAAATGATATACCTGCTCCCGCATCCTTTGTATAAATTGTAAAATTAGCAGGTTCACCAGCAATGCCTCTGCTCAAACCTGGACCATGTGCAGTCACAAAACCACTTGTAATTGAATCCACATAAATTTTGAATGGACTGCCTGTAAAATAAATAAATAAATAAATGCACATTCATTAAACATATCATTCTATTTTATCAGGAACCATGAATTATTTACCTGGTATATGTTCTTGATTGTATTTCACATGCAACTCATGTAAACCTTCTTCCCTTGGATCGTACTTAATAGAAATGGTCCCATCTTGGTTGTCTATGACAACCGGCTTATCGAATTTTCCTGATGGCATTTTGATATCAGCTGAGACAAAACCATATTTATTAATTCAAGTTTTTTTAAAATAAAAAACAAAATGTAAGGAATGTTTTGCAAAGCATAAGAGAAAATTTTGTTACCAGTTATTTGGCCTGTGCCAGGAAGAACTATGCTATGTAACTCGACGCTTCTAAACTGAGTGGTTCGAGATTGAGTTGTGCGTGTTTTAGTAACACTCTTTCTTTGAACCTCTTCAGTAACAGCCTGAAAGAATGTCATAAATTCACTATCTCATTCCTAAATAACACTCATTTCAATGAGAAGAAAATAAAACTTTTCCAAATATAAAGATAGAAAGACAGTAAAAATGGATTCAAGATTACCACGAATTTTAATCCAAAATAACATATTGCGAATCATAGGATATTTATATCTTAAAGATATTTTTTTATTCAGATATATTCTTAGTAAGTCGCAAGAACACAGTTTTTGTCAACAAAAAAAGTTTTGTTCCTTCAAACAGCCTAATTCTTGATAAATAAAATTTTCGTGAACTTGAGACGATTGATAATTCCGATATAAGCATTTTTAAGAACGTCTTCCAAAAGTAGTAAACTCATAACAAAGAAAGTTACAGCTTATTTTAAAGTGACATTGCTAAAATTAGCCATTGCAAACTTAAACACCTTCCCTACTTTTTCAAAACGAGTTTCACTTTCATCCAATTTAGTTAATTTAATAGCATGCATACTAAGGTAGTTTTCCTATGAAAGTTTTTGTTAATCACCTTTATAATTTTTGTTTAATTTGATGGCAAACCACGACTTTTAAAACATTTTTCGTTAAATATGTAACCATTTTGTTTAATAT